AAACCTCACATTAGCGCTTTGGAATGCGAAGGGATAAGCTGCAGTCCGCTTAAATCGTCGTAGCCATAGTAACACCTCAGTTGCTTTTCAAGCAACAAAGATGTGAGAGAGTGCGAGAAGATCTGTTAAACAGATGATCAAAAAAGTTAAACTAACGCTTAACAAGATAGGAAATGGGCTTTTGGTATTTTGTCAAGTTCGATTCAGTCCTCCGGAAAAATATCACACGTAATAATCAAAGCCAATGGATCACATGGCAGCAAAGTGTACTGAAACGAACAGGTTCAGTGTTACCCGGAGGGAGCGATCAGCTTATCAGCACTAACCTTAATCTGCTCAGTGAAGCACAAGATCGATAAACCACGTGGGGAGTGACAGGGAAAGCCGATCGTCTAAAATGGACTCAAAATTATCCTAGTCACTGAAATATGCGCTGTAACACCTGTGCTAATAAGATGCTCTAGGTACGCTTAGGAACCGACTGGCAGACTGTCGGATTAGGGAATACAAAACATAGGTGGTAGTTGAAACGCTTACCACCCTTCCATTCAGCTTTTCGCTTATTTGTCAGACGCCCACGCTCCAAGAGAGCAGCCATCAAGTTCGGGAGAGGCGTTTCAGTCAGGCTTATGCGGAATTGTCGTGCGCTCGAAGGTTTAGACTAATTAATGTATGGTGCCGTTGTTGATGTATCATGACTAAGACGACCTGCGGCGGGTTGCACGCACGGACATTGACAAGTGATTTCCGAGATAAGTTGCACCCTCGAAGAGTTTCACTCAATATACCGATAACAAAGAAATAGCTTGTCAGGATCAAGAAATAGCTGGTTCGTGTGGGATGAGATTCACACCGCAACAGCGGACGCCTGAAGTTCGAGTACTCAAGTACAAACTATGGTCGTGATGGGCCGTCGAGTTCGAAGCAGGAATGCAATCTACTTAGAATACAAAATAATATCAATGAACCAATGAACTCTAGCATTAACATGTGTAAAATGGCTCTGATTAAGTAACAAACACATTCTCAGTGAGATCTCTCCGACCACAATCCTCAAACGCTTGTGCGCAGCTTCACAAATGGACGATAAATATCTGTGGTAATAGCATTGATAGGGTCAACGGACAAAGATCCAACAGCTCTTTGGGACCAAATCCCCCAGTGGATAGTGTGTATCCAAGTAGGTAAGGCCTGTCGATGATGAACAGCAAAGTGACGTAAAAATGGAAACCGGCACCGGGACCACCGCAGTAGTCTAATGAATGTAATTTACGTGCAACAACGAAGCATAAGCGGTTCACTGAAGAAGGGGATGTGCCAGACATCCTGGGAAGTGCGCCCCAACGGAAGGCAAGCACATGGGATTACAGGACCTCGGGAATGATCAGAGAAAAAACATGTCTGTGTCGGAAAGTGGAGTTGTATAAGAAACAGCTTGGAGGTGGAAAAAAGTTGCTCAGATTGTTGAGTGCGTCAAGAATCGCAGTGAAGGTCTACATGCAATGCGGCAGTGGAATAACCGCTCATAATAAGTAAAAGCAAAGGTCAAACAAGGGAGGGACTTTACATGCGGACAAAATAAGTGGCGCATGAATGAAGCGGGAGGAACGGCATTTTAGAAGTAAAGTTGTGGGAATTAGATTGCGTTATGAATCACTGTAAAGAACAATTGGGCTGCTCACTCGTCAGTGAGAACTAGAATCGCAAAAAGCTGCGGAACACATGCCAAAGCACCTGATCATATAACAAAGTGTAGGGGAATGAGAACGATACGCAAGCATTTTTGGAAAATGGCTAAGCTGGGGAGAAGTGTTCCAGGGTTGGCAGACCCAGACAGAGAATTAAGTTTGTCGGCAACCTGGACCACTGTGTTGCTGACTTAATTTCAAAGAACTGTCTCTGAGTTTCAGATTTGGCGGCATATGTGTGAATTTACGAGGTCTCCATGTAGCCCCCAGGAAGCATCCACTAAGCACTCCGAATTTCTGTCGGCCCGTAGCCTAGAGGCAACGAGCTTGTTTCGTAATCTTGCGACGCGGATTCGAATCCGCGTAGGGGTGGGCGTCCTCGCGATATACTCAGCCCGCGTGCGACTGGTGGTGATCGCAAGGCAGCGAAGCGCCGTTACGGCGTACAGCTGACACATTATTATTATTATTATTACTCCGAAGCTTTTCACACAATTTCTTGATCGATTCCAAGGTTCAGCGTCCTACTGAGACTCTTTACGCTGCTTAGTGTGTTATCATCATTTTTATTATTTTTGCGGCCGGTGAGCAAGTTATACTCGAGCGGGGAGTACTCCCGCCGGAAATCAGCCACGATTACACATGGCAGTGTGATAAACTCCGTAGTAACACTACCAATAATGACGGCTACCCGTCATCCAACTATCCTACACAATTATTTTTGCCGAGCTTCTAGCTGCAACACTCTCATTCTGTAGTCATTGGCAATGAAACCCTATACAGAGCGATGATTTTCATCGTCGCGGGACGACGATAACCAGAAGGCCAAAAACAACATTTAAATAGCCAAATAAAAAGAGATGGATTGAGTAGCTAGAAATGGTGTCAAAATGTCCATAATGGGTGCGATTCGTTTATACGGCAGATGTCAAAGCATAAGAACAAAGCAAAGCATAAAAACACAAAATGTGGATAATAAGTAGCTTGATGTGACGTCGCTGTTTACTAATATCCCCGTTAAAGAGAAAAAATTGATTACCTTGCCGAATACATCGAGCACACAGGCAAATGAATTGGCTTACAAGTGGAAAAACTAAAAACGCTGCTACATCAGTGTATCCACAACGTTCGATTTCGATTTGCCGGATAGTTATATCGACAAATAGACGGGCCAGCTAAGGTGTCACCATCGGGTCCCTTGTTCGCTTATGTGTTTATGACTAACCTAGAGAGCGGTCCGCTGAATGAAATGATTGAGCGGATGCCACTCTATAGACGCTATGTCGATGACGTGATGTGCGCAGTTGGCTGGTCCGTGGACCAGGTTGAACGTTTACAGGAATTCAAAGGGGCCCACAAGGATATTCAGTTTAGTATGCAATCCGAGTCAAACGAAGGTCTGGCTTTCCTCGATGTACAAACGTCACGTCTACCAGATGGATCGCTGTAGCGTAGAATCCACAGGAAAGCGAAATGAACTGGTCGATATATACAATTTGATAGCTCTGTGCCAGATCCACAGAAACAGAACCTAGTCCGGTGGGTCTTGTCGGGAGAGCGATGAAAATATGCTCCGAGGACACAACTGGAGCAGAGCGGGCTGTAGTAGGAAGTGTTCCATAATAATGGCTATCCCGAGGCCTTCAATGACAGGAATATGCGAACGGACTATGCGGTCGCCAAAACACCCACAATAGGAAAGAAACCTGTCTACTTATCGTTGTCATTCAAAGGAGACAATAGTTCCGAACACCTTAGCAAACGATTAAGAGCGCCGTAATTAACACCTACGGGGCTGCATAATCACACATTATCTTCACTTTAACGCCCATGTTACACCTTCAGCTGAAGGATAGATTGTCTGTGGATCTCACCTCCTTTTGTGTGTAGCAAGTTACCAGTTCCTGTGGGAAAAGTTGCATAGTTCCATCTACGAGACGTTTGTCTGAACGCGTTCGCGAGCATCCTCCAGCATGGCTAAGCCGAGGGTTGAACCAAACGTGCAGCTCTGCAATAGTCGCGCACCTAGTCCAAACGAATCACCCCGTCGCTTTCAATAAAGCCTTTCTCCCCATCTACCGTGTGAGGGGTATCCATTCCAAGCTTGTCAGATTCCGAATCCTTGCAATGGCGGATGCAATCGCAATGCGTCTCAACGATCCCCCGTTGTGTGTGCAAAAACATGCGTCAAAGCACTTACCCTAAAGCAGGAGTGTCCAAACTTTTTGCAAAGAGGGCTACATTTTGTGAGGTAAAAAGATGTCGGTCGATATGCAGTCTGACACTAAGATAATAATAAAAATTACACGTGTACGAAAATAGTCTAAACCTGAATTCATTATTTTATGATGAGGCTGTGGGCCAGTTGAAATGTTAACGCCGGCCGCATTTGGTCTGCGGGCCGGACTTTGGACATCCCTGGCCTAAAGGTAACAAGCTTGTCTTAGAATCCGTCGGCTCGAGTTAGAGGCTGCGTAGGGCTGGGGCGACCCTTGCAGCATCCTTAGCCCACGTGCGACCGGTGGTGGTTGCGCGGCAGCGAAGCGTCAGTACTGCGTACAGGCGTGCTGCTGATGCCCTCTCTCTCTCCTCTTGGCCTTAACATGGCCAACTGTCGCACGGACATCTGCCGCGTGAACGACCAAACCAGCGGATTACGTTTGACCCTGCGGCGCACTGAGGAAGTCACCTCGCATGGTGATGAAACGTCTGCATACCAATTACGAAGCTCGGTGAATAATTGAACCCAAGAACCAATTATGGGCATTTTGACATCTTCATTTTCTAGCTACTCCGTCCCATTCTACTTAACTATTTAAATGTATTGTAATCGGTTTGATGATGAATCACCGAAAACGAGCTTGTTTGCTAGACCGCCTTTTCACGACGGAAACCGGAATGATTTAAAATCTAAAGTAAAATTTTTATCTGATGCGCATAACCGAAGCAGAGAGAGAGACATAACTTTCGAACTGGATATAGGATAGAACTTTTGCGTTGGTCACCAGAGATAAGTGAACTAACCTACATATAGTGGTGAATTTTAGTATCCAACAAGTTCACATGGCATAGGACCGTAATAATATGAGTTCGTTAACTGGGATTACCGGAGGAAAATTCTCGTTTGGTGTCAATATGGTAAGGATTGCAATAGCCTCTTGGAGTATCTGGGTCGGTGTGGCCAAAAACACCGTGAAAAAGTGACGTTTAAACAAGCACTGGTGAGAAGCGTAAATACAACGTACGCACATGACATATAGAGGGGAATGTGTGGGGCAGACGATCTCAACATAGAGCTGTGGACACACTCACCTTTGATTCCCGAAATAGTGCCATCTCGGCGGAAGCACATGCGCCAATTACATCATTTGTCATGTTCGGAAAGTGAGCCTTCATACCGTTTATCAGAAGTTGCAGTGTTTGATCACGTGCACGGCCCGTGATGCCGGTGAGAGATCTGTTATCTGGATCGATAACGTTTGTCTTCTCGGGGGCACCGCACCAACCTGACTGCAAAGGTGGGATGAGGGAACCAAATAAGGGTAACTTTCAAACACTGCCGCAGAGAACCTCAGTTAGAGAACATTGAAACATGACGAAAAAACGACAAAAACATAAAATACGAGAAGTATATATATATATATATATATATATATATATACATCCATATAATGTCTATTAACAGAAATTATGCCATCAGAACCATGGATGTAAGTCCATGATTCGTCAGTAGGCGAGATACTACCCGGTCGCCTAGGCCGAGGTAGGTAGGTTGTCTTAAGGGACCACTGCTCAGAGCTTTTGGCCAAAGAGCATAACCCACAAAGCAGCAGGGCGAGATGAAGGATTCGCACCCGTTGGGAGCCGGTGACTGGACAGTCAGTTCATACGCCTCTCGGATGACGATAAGCCATGCCATGTGCCCAACACTCCCGAAGTTAGAGACAAGATCCGATTCTCGGATTACTTTCCGGTGTACAATGTCTCCAATGGAGACAAGGGGCAGTGACTTTATTTAGTGGCGAGTCACATGTGCCACGTCGCAGTGTTGTTAAACAGACACTTGGGGCATTTTATAGGGAGAACGCTTGCCAGGCGAATACCCACCACGTCCTGGAACGCTGACGCCGAACCATTCGCCGGAACGGGAAATACCCGAACTGCCCAGATGGCACCACGAAGTTGTTCGGCGAGCCAGCCAGAGGAAGGTTCACCTTGGATGAAAAACGATCAGACTTATGGGTCAGACGCACACGAGACCCGGGTAGCTCGTCGATCCACTGCTCCTTATGTCGCGCCGTGGACTCATGTGCTGGACGTCTCCTCATGGCGACCGCTGGGTAAGAGCTGGGTTACACCCTTATTCTAGCTAAAATCCAGGACACAATTCCGCGTGAGTTAGTTCACTGACCCATGGTGGACGGCCCGCTGCCCTTAGGGTGTACATTTTATCGAAGGCGTTGGCTGAGGACCCGAGTCGTTCTCCTGTCAGGTGTGAACGCCCTGCAAGTATCCTAGTCTAATCCCAACCATGAGTCAGGTCAATAATAGTAATCCCATGCTGCATCGGCCGTCGAGCAGTGGCACTAGGAAAAGGGTCGTCTTATCTGCTGCATACAGCGGAATGGATAAGAGAAAACATGCTACCGCTGGCGCCAACTTTCTTTCTTCTTCTCCTGCACATACTCACACCGTCCCTGTTTCACCTAACCCAATACTTGCTCCAACATAGGCCACTATACGAGCGATTGCTCGCCACCACAATGGTATCCCACTAGAACTTGCGCACACCACTCGACCAGCACACAGGTGAGTGATCCGAGCGACGCGCTGCACTGATCGTGATGGAACTCTCGGGCTACGGAGCCGACATTGCTGCACTCAGCAATACTCGGCTCGCTAACCGAGGCAAGTTGTAGGAGGCAGAAGCCGGTTACACGTACTACTGGGTGGGGAACGCCACTACAGCATCATGTGAACGTGGGTTTAGATTTGCGCTATCCGGCCGCTTAAATGACCAGCTGGTGACGGAGCCAACTGGTATCAGCCCATGATTGATGACGCATCGACTGCGAGTTGGGAAAGGTAAGTTTGCTACTTTTGTTATCACGTATGGTCCCAATATGTGTTATCCTGATGACACGATGGACCAGTTTTACGCGCAGCAGTCCTCCGTGATACGATCTGTGCCGAGGAATGACCGGCTATTCCTACTGAGTGATTTCAACGCGCGCGTACGACGTGATGCAGCGGTGTGGATAGAAGTATTCGGACTGTATGGTATTGGCACAGTCAATGGGAACGGTTACCGGCTGCTCTCATTGTGCGAAACTCACGGCCTGGCGATCACAAACACTCGGGTTGCACTGGGTGCGATATAAGAAATTGGACACACCCACGGAGTGATCACGCTCACCTGCTCGACTATGTAAGTGTAGGTCAACGCGACATGTGTGAAGTGCGCATGACACATGTACTGCGTGGAACTGAGTGTGACACTGATCACAAGGTTGTGCGGAACAAATTGTACATATGTTTTCGTAAATCTACGTATTGCTCACTTGCCGTGAACTGGCGCACATTTAATGTTCTTTCACTAGGTACTATTGAAAAAAGGATCTAACAGGAGAATTCGATGGCTACCCACCTTGGCGATGTGAGTAACCTGTGGAACCACATCCGTGAACACGTGACGGCTGCTGCTGAGCAAACGATTGGGCGCGCAAGCTGTAAGCGGTCTGATTGGTTTGATGACAACTGTGTGACCAATGGCGCATTGGTGTCGGAGAAGAATGCAGCGTTCCCTGCACAGGTGGTTGACTCTGCGGATGCAGAGGAGTCATTTTCGCAAACATCCACGGCGATTAGCTAGAACTCCGTTTCATCAAGAACGCATGGTGGACGGAGAAGGCGAAGCAGATGAAATACTACGCCGAACGCCGCAAATAGAGGATTCTTTGACTTCTTGAAGGCGGTGTATGGACCCGTCTAGCAGCCACTGAAAACGCTGGTGGATGCTACTTCAGGCGCTGTCTACATAGAGACCGCAGAAATAATGCAGATCTGGCAAGCACACTTTAACTTTCTTTTGAACAAACGTTTGGAGATTGACTGCCCTACATTGAACGGCCTGAACCAACAATAGATGAAGATGTGCCTTGCGGACACATGAATGAGACACCGCGAGCACTTGTTCAGTTGCGAAACGGCAAGTGCACCGGCACCGACGGGATACTGCCTGAAGTATTGAAACACGGCGGACCCGCGTTGCAACATGCACTGCACCACTTGGTGCTGCGCATATGGTTAGGAGATACCGGCTGACCTGAAGGATACTTGTATGTTATCATTGTACAAGGGCAAAGGGAGCAAGCAATGTTGCACGAACTATCGTGGCATCAACTTGCTGAGTTGTGTGGGGAAGGTGACTGCCCAAATCCTGCTAAACCGAAGGTGGCGGAAGAGCAACGCGGATTCCATTCGGGCCGTAGCATCAGTGATATGGTGTACGTGGTTCATCAGTTTCAAGAGAATTGCAGGGTCGGACAAAAAACATGGTGCTCGCAGTTAGTTGACTTCACCAAGGCATTTGACACCGTGAACCGGGAGGCATTGTGGATGGTTTGGGTAATTTTGGCTGTCCGAGTAAGTTTCTAAGTATAATTGAATGTCTGCACAGTGGTATGCGAGCGAGGGTGCAACTGAGTGGACAGAACTCGGATGAGTTTGCCATCGTCTCTGGTGTGAAGCAGGCTGTGTCTTGGCCCCGGCCCTGTTTACTATTTACCTTCATGCTATGATGTCTTGTGCTTTTGATGCTTCTTGTGCTTAAGGTAGTGGGCGGCTGCACATCGGTCGTTTCGGGGCGAGAACGCTAGCATGCGGGACAGCTATCCGTATGCTGCAGTTTGCCGACGACTGTGCGTTGTTTGAACATCACGAATGAGTTGCAGAGCATGACTTCGGCTCTAGCTTCAACAACGGCCAAATTCGGGCTCATCATCAACACAAGCAAGACTGTTTGTCTTTTCCAGCCTTCAGCAGGAACGAAGTCCGTGGGTCTGCCACAAATCCACATGCGCAACGGCGTTTTGGAGACCACTTCAAGATTTCGCTACATTGGAAGCGTATTGTAAGTCGAAGTACAGATGATAAGCGTTGCACATCCGCGTATCGAAGGTGGTTGCCGCATTTGGAATGCTGGAATCGGATGTGGAACAACCAACAGCTGATCATTGGGCCGAAGCTATTGGTATACAAGCCCATGGTGCAGACCGTTCATCTATACGGCAGCGAAATCTGAATGACGTACCGGAAGAATGTCCAATAATTTGAACGATTTGAACAACAATGCCTGCATCATATTCTACGTAAGGGTTAGGGTGACCGAGTTGTTGACGCGGAGGTGCTCCGCCGCAGTCGTATGTTTGCAATGGACTCCATACTTCTGCTGAGGTACCTGAGGTGGCTCGGACATGTTCGTCGGATGGATTCGAGCCGGATACTAAAACAGTTGCTTTATGACCAATTGAGTGCGGGGAAGCGACACGTGGAAAAACTTAAGTTACGTTACCATAACATGAACAATGTGGGTTTATCACGAACTAATGTTGATTTCAAGTGGTGGGAATCAAAGACAGTTGATCGTCGCGAACGGCGTGACTTTATCAAGAGGGCGATTGTCCAGGTGCAGGAGAAGGCGGAAGAGAAACGCCGTGTACAGAAACGACAGGCTCCGATGGAGTTTACCCCAATGACGTCAAGCGCGTGCTGCTGTAGCACATGCGGTCGAGTGTTTGAGCCAAGACAGCCTGGTAAGCTACCAGCGTCGTCACGCTGGGCAAACACAGAGAAGACGAATCAGCTGATTAGCTAATCAGCATCGGGGCACCGTTCGTAAGTACACTGCGTCCGCTTCCATCTGGTTTATTAAACCAGGCCAATAAGGCGGCTGATTTGGTACGTGTGTCGCATGGTCGTTGCAGTTGGTCTGTACATGTGCCTACATGCTGAGTTGGGTTTCAGGTGTTGGCTGTTGCTTGATATCCCCAGTATGGCTGCGCTTGATGCGAGTATTGACAAGGTGCCTACCTGTGTATAACCACCAATTTTGCCCATACTGGTTCCTGAAGACAGTTGGTAGTAGCTGAAGGTGTGTGGGCACGATCCTCGCGACGGTGCTAGGCTTAAAGAGTGGTTTCAACCAATATGGAACGGATTACGACCCAGTCACCGCCTTGTGTACGTCTGGTAGGCATAATTCCCAATTAAGATAAGTAGGAATGCTATATATATATATATATATATATATATATATATATATATATATATATATATACCGGGTTGGAGGCATCCGGTTACAGATTAGCCCGTAACTGTGGCTAGCCACAGGAAGCCTGCGCCTACAGAGGGACCATGAGTGAATTACGCTGAGCCACCCACAGCTCCATCCACACACCCCATATCCAGTGTAAACCCGAAGGAATAAGACCGGGAGGCATGTGGATGGG